TGCAGATGCCAGGGATTGAACATGGGACCTTTGCCATGGAAATCAGATGCTCTACCACTGAACTCCAGACCTGGCCATTAAAACTGTTTTACCTGTGCTTATGCTCTTCTTCCTTTGAAAGCAACAGAGCGTCGAGGACTTACTTTGGCTGAATCATTATCCACATTTATTGCATTATGCATACAGAACAAAGGGTCTGGGAAGTGAGTAACAGTTTAGATGGCAAGTCAACATCATTGTGCCTTTAAAATTTAACCTTGGCCTACTGATTCATTTTCAATGTGTTTAGTCTCCACAATATTTTGCTGCAAAAGAACCCCATAAACTGGACCGTCCAGCATTTCCAGTATGTGAAGCAATGATTGAGGCTGACAGAGATAGTCATCGATTAATGCATTTATGACTCAACAACAACAACAAAGAATTTGAGTCCAGTTCTTTCATTTTGAAGACTCTGGCCACATATTTGAACTTGCCTGTGAGCTAATGAAAAGAGATCTCTTTATGACTAAAATAACCGGTCATCTCTCTGGGTAACAAGGAGTCAAACATCTTGCTTCGAAAACAGAGAGGTCCACAATCCAACTGAACCAATGAAACAACTTAGTTGAGAATAACTGGATTAAAATGGGCAAGGAGCCTAGAGTTTAAACTATAAAATAAAATAAAAATTGAAAGCATTTTTGGCAGTTCCTTTGGAATATCAGTATTTTCAGGTGCTTCTAATTTCCCATTTTAGACATCTAAGGTACAGTAGATATAAAGTGCATTAGAGACAATCTTGGCCTTGGGATTGTTAAATGTGTTTCTTGTGGTAGATCAACATAATAATGATTTAACCACAACACACGAAAGTGCCTTCACCTCCCTTATATTTCCCCATTCATATTGCCCTTTACTGTGCCCTTTGACGTCAGAAACAAAACATAAATACCAGCTGCATAAGCATATCGCCTTAGCATGAAGACCTTGCCTGTAAATTAAATGGGAAGAATAAAAGTGCCAGATATTTGCTTCCATTTAATACATTGACATTCGTTAAGGTTGCAATAGAAAAAGAGGGGAAATGAAATGACTTAATGAAAGCAGGAAAAATATACACCCAATAAGAACTCCCAGCAAACAACCCTATAGTGTAGTACCCATATAAATATTGCATACTGCAGCTAGGGAGCAGAAGCATAGTGGCTTGCCTAAGGCTGCTGAATGAGGTGGTCACTAAGCGGTAGCCAACAGCATAGTAGGGCACTGCCATTCACAGTCATGTCAATGCTGCTGATCAGGAGATATAGGGGGAAGGGCGAAGTGGCAGGTCAGTCGGTGAAGCAACAGGAGCACCACATTGACCTCACAGCTCCCTCCCTTTCCATTTCCCTGTAAGCAGCAGCAATGTGACTGACCGCAGGCCAGGTGAGTGGCAGCACCCATCCTCACTGCCCACTGTTAAGGTGAGAGTTGAACTTCCCAGTACACAGCTTCTTGTTTGTAGACACCGCACTACTGTATGACTATATCCACGGCTGTCTTACGCAGATGCGGCGCCGGGGTGCAAAGAGCCACCTGGAGCCCCCCCCCCAGGTCGCACAGTCCCAGGCACACAGAAGGGCGGAGCCGGCCAGCCACCTCAGTGTCTCGCTGGCTCGGTCACCCCCCGAACTCACACTGCAGAGCCGCTTGCAGCAGAAGAGCCCGCTGCGGCGCTCCAACCGACAGGCAGGCTCTTCCCCGGACTCAACTCTCAGGTCCCAGACTCTCAGCCTGGCACCCCTGAGAGCCAGGTACCCGGATGCCCCGCACCCCTAGCATCTATGGGTAAGACGGCCCTGACTATACCAGCTCTCATCATTTATGAAAGGGCTATGCCAAGGAAGCTGCAGGGCTCACATAAATGCATGAATAAAATTTGAGTAATTGTGCAGTGTCAGTTTTCAGCTGCAACCTGATGCAAAACATGTTTGAGTTTCTTAAAAAAAAAAGAATATCTGCACAAGGATTTAAACAAAGTTATTGAGAGAAATCATTCATACTGCCATATGCCACCTGGAATGTAGAATAGCTTCACAGCCCATGAGATAGATGCATTTCACATCTTGTGCTGGAAGACTAACACCTCAGTCCTTGAAAACATTTACTAGTAAATTCCATTGATATTACTGGAGCTTAATCCCCAATGAATGCTATTAGCACCTCTCCAGGAGTTTCTTTACCCCAGTCCTACTTACCTAATGAGGTAGTTGCTGCCTGAGTAATATTTATCATTTCCATAAATTGTTGAGATTTGTCTCCTCTTTCTATAAAACCCCAGATCTCTCCTGGGACGGTACATTTATATGAGTTGTTTAAACGCAGGTCATCTCCTAGTCAAATGTTTTAAATAAATAGTGCTAAAAGGAATTTAAAATAGTACATCTTATCCCCGAGGGTAATAAACAGCATCATGTGAATTAAAATTGGAAGGCACTCCACTACATTATGCTACTTCCTCAATCAATCTGTCACCATACGATTTCGCTTCCTTGCTCGGCCTCAGCTTTTGAACTCAAAGTGCTTTGTGTAATGTTTTTCACCATGCTGCTTAACACAGTGAGGATAACTCACCTCCAGGTTACAATGTCGATCATCGCCACTGGACCTGAATAGGCAGACTTTCATCGACTATTATTTGTGGCTGGTATTGTGATTACTGTTAGGACTACCGCATTCTATAGCCGTGGATTTCACTATTCCGCTCAGTTTAAAAGGACAGGTCTTAGGGCTGATTCATACATCCAAACCAAAACTCCCCCAGGAGGAAAGGTTGCCGTGTTTGAGACTTTTTAGCTTAGAGAACAGGCAAGTAAGAAGTGACATGACAGAAGTTTATAAAATTACATACGGCATGAAGGAAGTGGATAAAGAAAAGTTCACCCTCCCTGCCTTCTAGCACCAGAACACATGGGAATCCAATGAAGCTGAATGTTGGAAAATTCAGGGCAGATAAAAGAAAGTACTTCTTCATGCACCACTTATTTAAACTATGGAACTCACTGCCACAGGAGGCAGGAATGGCCACCAACCTTTAAAAACGGATTAGACAATTCATGGAGGAGAGAGCCATCAAAGGCTACTACTAGCCATGATGTCTGTGCTCTGCCTCCACAGTTGGAGGCAATGTGAATTTATCTCCCAAGCTTCTCTTGTAGGGAAGTACCATCATGTCACTGCAGCTTGACTAACATTCTAGCATCCCCAGTAAAGGATATTAGATGTCTCTGCAACATATCGACCTTAAATTCCATGCATGTACAGTGTGATGGCGCTGAGAGTTTGCTACACTGAGCAATAAATGATTGCCAGTGTTGGCTCACTCACACAGGTAGACTAAAAAAGATATTCAGGGTGGGTCTGCTGTATCAGAAGCAGTGTGTGAACTGAGGCTGCATTCACACATTATCACTGCAATGTAGCTGGCCATTATGAAACTCTTGTGACTAAGCTGTATTGTACATTGCATTAGTGACTTGGGGGAAGCCATGGTGTGGATTGTCCAGGTTATGTTGATGCGCCAACCTTGGTTACTTGGAAGCAGCCACATACAGCTTGAGCAACCCCATGATGTAACGCCCGCATATATTATACCACAGTGTGGAGTGGAGCCACACAGAAGCAGTTTTATTCTGGTTGGGCTGCCTGTAAACTCTAGAAACCTCTGTGATGCCACAGATGATTCAATAGCACATTTTCAATTCATGTAGACATGGCCTACAAGATATCCTAAGTCTCACTCTATCAAAGAAAACAAAAGAGCCTTCATCCTGAAGCTACATCTGATTACCACAGTCTGGGACAGTTTTAAGTGCTGGCAAGACTCATTAACCAGCCATAGATGGGTTTTGTTGGGGTCATAGAGATCTATGGACCATTGTTGTGGTATGTATTGTGGCATGTGGCTATCCACTTTGACCTCTAAGCCTGCCTCTCTGAGAGTATGGAATATTTGGTTCACCATGTTATTCAGATGTAGGTCTCTCTATGCTCAGCAGTGCTTACTCCCAAGAAAACTTGCACAAGATTGCAGCCTTGAACTGCTAGAAAAGGGTATTGTTAGAGACAGGGTTCTATTTAACACCACCTGCAATTTTAACAGATGGTCTGTTTTCTGATTCAGTATCCAAGACTACGGAAAATATCAAGCTTGCTAAATGAATTGTGGGGGAAATCCTCAAAGCTGAGTTTTGGAACTCTATAGATACATCACTGTGCACACTGAAACCCAAATTACTGTGGTGTATCCAATTCATTTTAGTTATGCTGGCCACATGACCGGGAAGCTGCACGCCGTCTCCCTCGGCCAATAAAGCGAGATGAGCGCTGCAACCCCAGAGTCAGCCACGACTGGACCTAATGGTCAGGGGTCCCTTTACCTTTATCCAATTCCTGGCAATGTTATAGAACTTTCTTGTGCATTCAGTGCACAAAGAACATCAATCAATCAATCAATCAATCAATTTATTGCTTATAGCCAATGACCATCACAATACATTATGACAATGCACGAAGGAAAATTGAAACATTAGTATGTGCAGCCCTGAAACTCCTGCCTATCCTGAGATCTTCTGGACCAAGACAATTGAGTTTCAATATATTTAATTCCTTTTAAAAATGTTCTAGATTTCAAAATGAAATGCACATAGCATTAAAGAGGAATGATTGCTGAAATGTAGAAATCCTGAACTTACAACCTCGAAGCATTGTTTGTCTTGCTAGTTATAAGAAACTGGAGTGTACCAGTGCAAGGAAGCTGCTGCTTCCTCCCTTTTTTATTTCTCCCCATTCTTCCTAGCACTTTTGGGTTCACCCCCTGTGAAAATCTGTCATCAAACGATGACCGAGAAGAAATATGGGTGATTGCACTGCCCCCATAAAAAAAAGCGCTAGACCAGTATCAAGGGACCTTGCTAAGATACTTAGGAGAACATTTTCCATTGAAGTCAACTGACCATCCATCTCCCTTTTTAACTAGTGTCAAGGCTGGTTTACTTGATGATGATTTGATGCCCAGCAATTGCTCCCTCTTGCCCACTGAA